TCGTTAAGTAAAATAACCATACAAATTTGAAGAGGGGTTGTCGTGTGGAAACTGAATCGAAGTACCATTCTTCTTCCTCGTCGCTTCCCACTGCCAACATTGCACATATGACCTTATCTTTCATCTTAATAGCTTCTAAGGACAATTTACGGCATAGTGACCAGGCTTCTTACAGTTTGAACAGCAACCGTTCTTCTTATCACTTTGTTGAATGCCTCGATTTTTGCTGCGTGCACAGCCCACCTACCAATCCGCAATTGTTTAATGGCCACTTCAAATCTTGAAGTATCGTCGCCTTCACTAAATCTGCCGTTAACTCGATCCCCGAAGCATGCCATCCCATGATCATACTCCGGTAAACTTTTTAACAGCAATGATGCAAGCCACTGGTCATTTACCTCAAATTTAGCTCAGATTTCGTCGACGTAATCTTCAACGGAACCAATTTCCTTCAACTTCACCGACGTTAATTTGTCCAGTAATCCGCACCGATGAATCAAAACCATTGTCCTGGAATACCTTCTGGAGCTTTTCCCTTGCATCTTGTGCAGTTTCAACGTTCCTTACCAAACTGTAATTAGTCTTCTCTATGCTCACTGACCGCTGGATCAACTGCTTGACCTTCTGCATGCTTTACTGCACTACCTATAATCGCATATCAGTTTGGCATCTACTTTCATATTACGTGATAAAATTTCGTACTTTGATAGTGAAAAATGTGAAAACATCATCAAGTCAGTTTGTCCCATCAAGTAACTTACCTTACCAATCAGGCTAAGGTCTTGTTGTCCTCTGCTGTCCGAAGAAGTCGTCTCCACTCTACTCGATCCATGGCCACACTTCGCCAGCTTCGTAGTCTGCGAAGGGTCCGCAGGTCGCCTTCTACTTGGTCGATCCACCTTGCCCGCTGCGCGCCACTTCTTCTTGTTCCTGTTGGGTCGCTTTCTAGAACCATTTTCACTGGGTCTTCGTGCGGCATTCTTACGACGTGTCCAGCCCACCGTAGTCGCTCAATTTTTGCAATGTGGACGATGGATGGTATCGTGCAATTCGTGGTTCATTCGCCTCCTCCATGTTCCGTCATCCAACTGCACTCCAACGTAGATGGTATGCAACACCTTCCGTTCGAAAACACCAAGGGCGCGTTGGTCCTCCACGAGCATAGTCCAGGTTTCGTGGCCGTAGAGGACCACCGGTCTAATCAGCGTCTTGTAGACAGTCAACTTCGTGCGGCGGCGAATTTTATTCGACCGGAGCGTCCTCCGGAGTCCAAAGTAGGCACGATTCCCTGCCATAATGCGTCTGAATTTCTCTGCTGGTATCATTTTCGGCGGTCACCACAGGCAAAACACACGAACTCATCGACAACCCCTTTTTCTTCACCGACAATCTGAACTCGGGGTGGGAGGCTAACATTGTCTTCCCTAGAACCTCTTCCTTTCATGTATTTTGTCTTTGATGCGTTGATGGCAAGTCCAATCCGCCTAGCTTCTGCCTTCAGTCTGATGTACGTTTCCACCATCGTCACAAAGTTCCGTGCCGTAATGTCAATGTCATCGGCGAAGCCAAGAAGCTGGATGGACTTCCTGAAGATCGTGCCACTCGTGTCTATCTCAGCTCTTCTGATCACACCTTCTAACGCGATGTTGAATAGCAGACACGAAAGTCCTTCGAGATTCAAAGGGACTCGAGAGTGTCCCCGATACTCGAACAACGCACATCACTTGATCCATCGTCGCCTTGACCAATCGCGTCAGTTTATCCGGAAATCCGTACTCGTGCATGATCTGCAATAGCTGATCTCGATCGATTGTGTCGTATGCGGATTTGAAATCGATGAACAAATGATGTGCACGTTGTATTCGCGGCATTTCTACAGAACCTGCCGAATCGCAGAATGATCCGTGGTAGCGCGGGCACCCATGAATCCCGCCTGGTATAGAATTTGGGAGAATACCTTGTAGGCGGCGCTCCGCAGTGTGATCGCGCGGTAGTTGCAGCAATCCAACTTGTCGCCCTTTTTGTAGATAGGGCATACGACACCTTCCATCCACTCCTCCGGTAATATCTAACTGATATGGCAGTGCACACCAGGTACCTTCGCGTATTAAAGATGATTTAAAGTTCTGACGTGCTCGTAACGTCTCCGCAGTCGAAAGATTCAAAGGGTTTTCAAAGGCACGTACAATTCCAACAACCCACACGTCATCATCGCCATTCGGTCCGCTTCTACTGCCGTTTCCATGGACTGTATCTCTCGGGATCACGATTTCTCGATGAGCTTGAATAACTTGATCTTCTTGATTCAGTTGGCCAGTTCTCTACCTATAACCACTTGTGAGTGAACTAAAAGACGTTTTGGTAGCAGTCTGAACAAGTAATGAACATTAATTTCAGTTTGTTTATATTAGTAAACAACGGTCAAAGCTGGGGTGGGATGTGCTGTCAAATCAGCCTACTGATCATTCTTGTATGAAATTGGTTCCAAACGTTAAGAAACCCTATAGGTTTCTTATGGCTTGTTTACGTTTGGAACCAGTTATGCGAGGTAGGTGACGATTGTTGGTATTTGACAACCACCCCGAGCAAAGTTTGAGATCAAATTGAAATCTAAATTTGATGTTGTGATTTCGCTGATAATGATTACTCAGGTTGCTGTCGTTTTGGTCGTTTCAACGGTTAAAATATCAAAATTGAGAGCAAACAAATCTTCCTGTGACATCACATTGAAAACTATTTCTGCTATCAGTGAGAGCAAAATGAAAACTAAATTTGATATCCATTTTACTGCCTATAATCGCATATCAGTCCCATATGGATTTTCGTCAATTTTGAGATAACAACGCTATCCACTATCAATTGGCATCTGCTTTCATATTACGTGATAACACTATGGACTTTGATCATGAAAAATGTGAAAACAACATCAGGTCAGTTTGTCCCATCAAGCAAAATAATCGCATATCAGTCCCATCCTGAAATTCAATCGCTCAAAGATCTGCTTTTTGAATAGCCATATTTTTCGCTGATATAACAATACATGCAAGCTTCATTGCAACAGATTTTAACTTGAAAAAATTATCAATTAATTTACTATTATTTATCAAGTAGGGGTAAGAGGGGCATAGTGAACAGGTGGGGCATAGTGAGCATCCCGTGCACCAGCTTGGACTTCCGGCCGTTCGGAACAAATTTATTGGTGGTAGGATCAATATCATAATGATATTGAACCTACTACCAGTTGATTTGTTTCATGCAGCTGGAGATCCAGAGCCAAATTGCAGGATGCTCACTATGCCCCTCCTCCCCCTATTTGCATGGAAATTGCACTTCGTAACTTCGACTGCCATTTTCTCAATGCCCACTTTTTTTCCATTTGGGACTGCTATGGGATAATAGGCAGTTTACCTGTTGGTAACAAAACAAGTATTCAATTTGATGTTATGCTAAGGCAATGAAAACAAACCCACACAACAACAATATTTTTGAAGAGCAAATGTACAGCAAAATGAAAACAAAATTAGGTATCAAATTTGTCAATTGCGTAAACTGACATCAAATTATGATTTCAGTTTGATGTTGATATCAAAACTTGATTTCAACTTGCTGTCATTTTGATGCTGGACTTTGCTCGGGCTCCCCCTTGGGTCAAACAGACCGCTCAAAGGTCACTGTGAAACCGAACTTTTTATCAGTGCGAACCTCAACCTGAGCCAGGTTATAAAAACATACGTTAGTCAGAAAACAAGCATGCCCAATCTTGATACCGATCCAAGTTGGAACTGAATAATAAACGAATTCGCTATATCTTTAATAAATTCAGCTTCCTTACAATTCTCTTGAAATACTTCTCAAAATTACCTTAAATTTCCATTCCAATTCCATTGAAATTGAATATGGGTATTTTTGAAACAATGACTTCGTGTAGAAACCGAAAACCGGAGTCCAGGCCATTTTGGAATCCAAGATGGCGACCTCCTGTTTGTGAAAAACTGTCGAATACCCTACAATATGGCTATTTTCGAAACGGGAACGTCGTGTAGAGGATGGAAATCGATTATTGACACCTTTTTGGATCAAGATGGCTACTTTCGGTTTGTAAAAAACTATCCCATAAAAAATCTAAGGAATTATTTTAAACGCAGAATTCTACTTTGGTGCAAAATGCGCAATACAGATTATCGAAAATAAACGTTTTTTAAAACTAGTCTTGACGTTTTTCGATTTCAGCAGTTGATTTTAAGGTGTTTCGCTGTGAGATCCTTATTCTAGTAATCACTTCGAAACTTCAAGTGCACAACTATCAGCTTCCAGGACACGTACCACAATGAAACTGTTACTCCACGTTCGCTGCACTGCAACATACACAAAGTAGCAATTTCAGGTGAATGAAGCACTATTTTCTGAGATTTGTGTAATTGAAAATTCGAAGTGGTAGTGCATTTACAGCCTTCGTGGCGGTCATTTGTGGACTCTACAAGGAATCACCCTAATGATGCCCAAAAATCATGGATTGCTTAGTTTTTTAAAGGATTTAGAAGCTTTAGAGATCACTTTGGTTTAGGATATTTTTGGCATTTTAAAAGCCGTTTTGGTTTTTCTAGTATTGTTTCTTATTTTTGCGTTATGTTTCATTAGGTATTATTTGGAATTTTTTTGGTCCTCAGATTTTTTTTGGGGCTATTTTGGCGTTTTTAAGATACTTCGACGTTTGAAGGCGGGTTAAAGGTGCTGAATTGCATGGTTAATATAAGTCTAAGTAAAAATAGCATAGACGTTTCCCGGTTAATTGCATTTAATCCTTATGTGCGTGAGGATTCACCGCATTATTCAAATGGGAGGTACCCCGTCACGCACATAACGATTAAAATGTAGTTCGTCATTAATGGTATGTAGAAGGAAGCGTGCGTGCGAATGAACGTGAACTGCTTAAAATGCGTATGCTTGGGCTTGCTTTCGTTATCGGTGCACAAAATTCCCCCTCATTCTGCCTATTCCAGTATTCCACGGCGCTCGCGGAGAAAACGGTGGTCAGCGTCGTCGGCGGAGACGGGGAATGCGTATCAATGTACTCGATGATGATGATATTTTCCAACCAGGTTCTTCTTCGTCCAGTGAGGACGATGACGATGAGGACATGGATGACAACGACGACGACGGCGATGGGGATGAAGACGGCGACGGCGAGGAGGACGGTGGGGCAAACAATAACGACGACGAGGACGCGTCTTCGTGGAGCACGACCTCCGATCTGGAGGATTTCCTGTTGATGTAGACTGGATTAGGGCTAACATGCGATTCTAAATTGAATCCAGAAGAGCAGTTAGGTGGTCCCTCATCGTCGATGTGATTCCCATGCAACTGAAACGTGAGTCGTCTCCACGTACCTACCTTCAAACTGCTACTACTACTAGGTACTTGCGTTCACTTGGGTGGTATGTCATTGTGTAAATAAATGTCTAGTAGGATATAGGCCGGATCACATTGTTTTGTTACGATCTAAAAGCTTTAAGTTTGAACGACAAAAATACTGCTGCTAGTTCAGCACAGCACAGGAAACAGTCGAAATCCGTATTTATAACTGTCAAAAGAAATCGAAGCTAAAAACTGTAGACACTTTGTTCGTACTGTATGTTTTTTGCTCGCATTATTTTTTACTCTGTTTCTGACATTCTATTTTTGCTCCATTTTCTACTTACAACACGCTACTGATTGGGCTTTTTTCCGTGAGCAATGATAACAGTCATATTCTTATGTAACGGCGTTGAAAATTCTATTTGTAAATTTATATTAGTTTTTATTTGAATAAATTAATTGTATAATATTAGAAGCCAGGCGTTAAATTAATGATAACATAGTCCGAAATCAATCCGAAACATTTGGTCCCCATCTAACGAATATTATGTAATATTATTTGAATGTTGAAAAGGTGACATCAGTGCCGAATTACCCGCGTCATTTTTGATAAAGTTAGCCAGTTAGATCTCCGCAATTCGAGTTACAACACACAATCTATTGAAATACCTACATTAAAAATCCCAATAGTCTGAAAACGGTCTGGTTCCGTGTGTTTCCATAATTTGAAGTGGACTTGACTTAATGGTATGTGGATTTTCACAGGTAAGTACCAAACAGGTGAGGACGAGTGTGATGGCCTAAACGACCGATGGATCTTGTTCAGTAACTGAGTGGATTTATGTTGTCTCTTTTTCTCTAGTGGAGGTATAGAGATTAGTGACGCTTAACGCACGCTCGGAAACAATCGCCTATTATCGACGATATGTGCTTGTACCGCAAGCAAGCACGTAGGGTGGGAAATGGATTCGACACTCAAATGTCATTAGCCAAATACATCAGACAATATAGGTCCACCGTTGTATAATTGGCAATGCACCCGTGTACTGAATGGGAATTGTGGGTTCGAATTCCACCGGTGCCCTTAGATTTTTTCGCAAATTTTCTCACACACACGTCTTTTACCGATGATAAGTGCTTACCTCTCAGTATGTTCAAACTTTCTTATAAACAATTAAACTGACTGCACAGTCGTTAAGCCGTAAATCAATATATATATATATGTATATTATGTGGTATTTTCTAGGATGGCTAGGCTAGGCTTGTAGATGAAGAGACGGGTGCTCACACTCGATGATGATGATACGTGAGCAAGTATGCGTGACCACGCAACGGTGATGCCCAAATTGGTTTGCAAATTACCAATCGCACGGATTAATCTTTCCGAAATCACAGTTTTTACTAAAAAAAAACTCACTTTTCGAACAATTTACCGGGAACTATGCCAGGAGTCACTTAGTGAGAAAAAAACTGATAATTTATATCCAGTGAATACCGAGAAAACTTTCAAAACAACGGAGCGCGAAACAAGTCGACCGAACTTCTTGCTAGGACGCAGTGAGATGAACCCAAACAAATAATGAAATGAAAACATTGTTGATGAATTTACTGACTTATTCATCAAAAAATAAAATAATAATGCTGAAAAACTCAGCAAAAAACTATGTAAACAAATAAATTACTAAAAAAGACAGCACTAACAGACTAACACGGTAATTTTTAACAGTTCAGAGATTCTGCGATTTACGGAGTTTTCAGTAAAAGCAAAAACTACTGGGTTGATAACTGAAAACTCAGCTGTTTAAAAACCCAGTAAAATTCCACCGACTTCGGTAATCTAAACTCTGTGTGTGAACTGCCAAAAATTACCGTGTTAGTCAGTACTAGTATTGCTGTCTTTTTCAGTAATTTATTTGTTTACATAGTTTTTTGCTGAGTTTTTCAGCATTATTATTTTATTTTTTTGATAAATAAGTCAGTAAATTCATCAACAATGTTTTCATTTCATTATTTGTTTGGGTTCATACAATTAAAAAAATTCGAATTTATAGCGATTTGTATTTGGGGACGGAGTTTAGTGGCGGATTAGCAGTAATGCTGTTTTAACTAGTCTAGGTTGAGCGGTCAGAGCTTCCCGGTGGTTTAGCCGGGTGGTGGCTCTTTCGATGTGCCGGATTGCGTGCCTAAGTCTGGAGCTTTATAATAGGAAATTTTAGTGAAATTTCTTTCTTCGAACTAACTTGAACATCTGAAAGTCAATGCAGGAGTGCAGAAACTGATAAATTGCGTGGTAGCTTATGCACTCTTGTGTTGACTTCCAGATGTTTCACTGATTTTCACAATGGTTTCCTGTTTTCACGAGAAGATTTCCGACGTCAAGTGCGTTAGGTTGAATGGAGGAGGATGACATAAGAAATTTGCTTTACTGTCAGTATCAGCAATGTTGGAATTTCGTTTGATGACTGCTCCAGTAAAACATAACGAATACAAAAAACTCGGTACTCTATTTTACTGAGTTTTAGTCATTATCCGTAAAGCTGTTATTTTACGATAAGTTCAGTTCTTACTCTTACCGTATTCATTAGTTTGTCGCAAGAGCTACTGATCGTCAGTTGTTTTATTGAGAATAGCTGTATGTTCGGTAATTTTTGTGATTTACAGTTCGAAAACTGTAAAAAAAAATCACCGAACAGGGAAGCCGTGATTAAGTGTGTACATACATACAGGAGCACGTTGACAACATTCCAAGCGATATAGCGGAGTTAAGGTGCAAATCAGATTGGATTTAACCTTTGTAAGTATAAGTATGCATTAATGATTTGAACGTATGCATTGGTTTTGGTACAGGAATACTAATACATATAGTATATTAGTGTTTATCTTTTTTAAGGGGGAAGTATTGTAATTTTGCAGTTTTAAGTTTAACTGTAAGATTTTCTAAAAAATTCATGGCACGTGTAAAGTTCAGATTCAAATAAATTCATATATGTAAGGGGTCATGTACTTATTACGTAAGGGTTTATCGAGGGAATTGAGTTCAGGGTGGTCTGGAAATCTAACTCATGATCATCCACAAAGCAAACGTGTAGCCAACTACGCCACGGGACCCTCCTCTGTGTACTTATATTTAGGAATTGTTAGAGAAAAAAGGGTTGAAGCGCGACGACTGGCCGCTGTGGAAGAAGGCAATCGAAGCCGAACTGTCATCTCTGGAGAACAGTACCTGGACTTTGATCGAGCTAACTATTGGGAGACGACCGGTAGGCAATAAATGGGTGTTCACTATCAAGCGTGATGGCAAAGGTAAGATCGATAGATGGGCCCATGCATTAATTATGTCACGCAAAATCGAGCAAAAAATTACCCCCTCCCCCCCTATCGTGATGTTTTTCCTATACCTAATGCATTGCTTGTCACAAAATCTTAGACCCCCTCTCCCCCCTTAGAGCGTGACATAATATATGCATCAACCCAAAGCCCGACTTGTTGCCTAGGGTTTCACACAAACGAAAGGTTTCGACTATTCGGAAACATATTCCCCTGTGGCGAAGATGACGACATTGCGAATTTTGCTGGCACTGGCAAACCAGCGAGACCTACACGTGCATCAAATGGATGTGAAGACTGCGTTTCTCAACAACTCTTGTTTTCGATGTCTACCTTTTTGAGCAAGCAATTCACATCGTATTGAAATGCAAAACACTTTAAATCCATCTGTTTTCAACAGTAGTGTGATTCATTGGGCCTCCCTTAGCTCAGTCGGTAAAGGCGCAGCTACAAAGCTAGACCATGCTGGAGGTGGCTGAGTTTAATTCCCGGTCCGGTCTAGGAATTTTTCGGGTTGGAAAATTTCTCGACTTCCCTTGGCATAGAAGTATGATTGGACTTGCCACACAATTATACCAATGCAAAAATGGTACAGGCATCGAAAGCTCTCAATTTATAACTGTGGAAGTGCATCTAGAACACTAAGTTGAGAGCACGCAATAAACTAATATGCGGTATGCAATAAGCTTGAAATGCGAAGAAGAAGAAGAAGTGATTCAATGTGCAATACACTTGAATAGATAGTGAAAGATTTTCAACATTTCAAAGTTTGAAACACTAGAAATTAACGTGTTCAACATATTGAACCAAGGCGAGGGGGACGACTCTATCTACGATGCAGGAAATATTCACCCCTATTATGTATTTCGTTTCGAATGAAATTCTCATACAAAAAAATATTTTTTTGTATGAGAATTTCGTTCGAAACGAAATACAGAATAGGGGTGATTGTGTTTTGCTGTGGCTAGCTGCGCGTACGCTGAGTAGATAGAAAGAAGATTTATCGCGATCTTGAAGATTTGCTGCAAAAAGATGATGCGCGATGCAAGTAGATGCGAGAAATGAAAGAAGATTTTTCAAAGATTTATTGGCTAGTGTGAGATTTTTTGAGCATCAAGAATTGAGATTTAGATGTGTCGCCCCCCTCGAACCAACGTGAAGTACACTTAAAGTAAATGTGATTGTGCATTTAAAAAATCAAGTGTTTAAACACTTCGATCAAACGTTTGGAATTTTTTGAGTGTATGCGAGAAAAGGTGAGAAAAATCTAAGATGAGACAATACGGGGGCAAAAACGAACCACTTTTCTGTCAAACGCGAACCAGCTCGTGATTGGCCGATTTGAAATAGAAAATATTATATTATTATAGATAGAGATAGAGATAAAAGAGTAAGAAGCCAGTTGTCTCCTCTTCCCTCTTAGGGAAAAATGAACATTTTGAGTAAGCTTTCGCACTCCCTTTCTCTGTTCCTCTGTTTGCCTACAATCAGATATTCAAATGTAGAGCGAGAAGTGCACGCATTAGGCACCCATTTATCACTCTTCATCGTTATTTTTCTAATTTAAACTCACACATTCAAGCTGGTCTGCAAGTAGGGCGGAGCGCTACTTCGTCGTAATCGCCCATTTCCGTTATATCGATCGGAAAGGATCAATAATTGGCCTTATTACGGGTGTCACTACACGGTGATAAGGTAGTGATACTCATAATAAGTGCCGTTATTGCCATACAAATCAAATGGGAATCACTTCACCGTGACGACAAGTGACAAGTTTTCACCGTGAAGTGACATCCGTAAAAAGTCCCAATATCAATGATTTAACCGTGCACAAATCAATAATAGGTTTGTTCCAATGCGTTAATTCATTAGCTACAACATAAATCCCGATTAGAGCACATTATATGTATGAGTATTTACGCTCATTGTTCTCAAAACAAAAGAAGCGCTCCTATCATTATGAAAACTCATTTTAATTTCAATTGTGCTTTCATTATGCATTTTAATGAAAGCTACTTAACTTGAAGTTCTGATGAGCCGGCGCCGGTGGTGTAGTGGTAAGCGTGACACTCCAATGGTTCAATCCCAGCCGAGGTCGGTGGGATTTTTCTGAGGCATAAAAATCTCTGGTCACGTCTTCCTTCGGAA